CACTCCTCTTCACCCAGCTGTACTGAATCTCAATGTCCCTACCCAGCCATAAGAACTRTTTTTTTTCATTGTTAAAGTTCCACAAACCACTGTCCTCTGTCTTCAACCAACTAACCACCACCTTCGAATCACCTTCCAGGATCAAACAGCTAATATTTAATTCATTTGCTCTTCGAATTCCTTCAAGCGCTGCAAGGATCTTAGCCCTAAGAGAGTCACCTTCTCCAATAGGGCCAGAGAATAAAGCAATAACAATCTCTTCCTCATTCTTGAAAACTCCTCCAATCCGACAGGGCCCTGGATTCCTTACACTGCTGCCATCAAAATTCAGCTTTATAAAGCCCGAGGGGGGAGGGGACCAAAACGGACAAAGAGTCCTCTTGCATCTARMAWTRGAAGCAATCTCTTTCYAGTTTCTTAGCAAGTCATCCACAGGAAAATCTGAAAACAACTCCAAAGATTTTAGTCAGTGGACAGCCCTTAAAAGGATTTGATCTAACAATTCTTCTGATGTTCTTTCGTTATCGGAAAATCTGAAAACAACTCGTTTTTGCTAATGTTGTTCTCTCATCCCTCGTAATACAAGACATTCTCCATCAAACTACAACTAAAACTACAAAACCATTTTCTTTGCAATATGTGCCAAGGATTTAACTTCTTTGGACTTGCCTCAAGGAGCTTGGTTGGGGGTCCATAGGCAAAGCCTCCAGCCCATCCACTTAACGTCAAAAGGTGAACAATTGGGCTGGAAGTGCAAGGCGCACCACCAGGAAGCACCTTTTCCAAGCAGCTGTGCCTGGGCCTGGGTGAGGTGCACCTTGAAATATGCCTTGCCTGTGTGCCTCAGCATGCTTGAGGCATGAAGCATGCCTTTTAAATCATTCCCTTGATTTCTTTTACATTACCTTAGACACAGCAGAGCATTAACAGCAAAAGGGAATATCTAATTCCATCAAGTATGGAAATAAATCGAATTATTTGACCGACTCCCTGTCTAGGCTAGTGCAAGGATAAATTAGTTAGTCTGGGGCTGGTCCGTTTTGGATAAGCTCTGTCTCTTTGTAGGGTTATCTTGAGGGTTTAACCTATCTACCTTTGCCATCTCTCTTTCTATGTTCATTTTGTTGCTGGGTATTGTTTCTACTCTTGTATTTGTTTTTTCCCTAGTATCTATTTAATAAAATTCCCTTGATCCAGTTAGCAATCAGAGGCAAAAAGATATCTTTTATCAGAAAGTTAAAAAGAACTTCTACCCATGTGCTGAAATATAAAATTCCTCGTCTGTTTAAAAACTAGATGTTTTTGTTATACAGATCTACAGCAGTTCTAACTCCAAATAGGTATTCTAAGCAGCAGAAGAAATGATTGTGTTTTTTAATGGGAAACACACTTGTACAAAGAAAGAGAGAAAAAGCACTTAATGAATGGAAAGAAGACAGATGAACAAGAGAAGAGTGTTTCTCATATATAAGAACAGGCACACTTGCACCTTCTTTATGCATAAGAACTTTCTAGAGTTTTAATATCAAAATGATTGGTAAAACATGTGAGTAAAGTAAAGAAAGCATGGCAGCCCATACTCCTTGAGGCCTAACATAGCAAATCCAGAAACGTTGTTGTTGTTGCAAAAGTTCTATTTGACAACTTTCTCTGATTCATCATTATCTAAACAAAGGAATCCCTTGCCACCATAATGCCAGCTTCCCAGAAAAACAAAAGTTGGTATTCAGTAGCAAAATACACAATTTGTTGTGTTTGACCTAAGCCCTTTTCATTGTAGAACTTTCTGATGGAGGAATGCCCCCATTTGTTCAGGGGAAAATTTCATTCTCTCTCTTGAACTTTGCCTATAATTACAAATTCTTTCCTGTACTTTAACCATTTAATTTGTACCCAACAAATTGAAATCTATTTTCAGCATCTCCCTTACAAAAACCAAACCCATTCAAAACTAACCTTAATGACACTCTGGCTCCTATTTGCAGCGGGTAAAACAAGCAAAGCCAATTAACCAATGAAATTTCATTTTCACACCTAATCCTTATCCAAAATAACAAATCTTCTAACATAATTCAACTGTTTACATATATAACCAACAAATTGAATTCTTTTCACACCTAAGGCTTATCCAAAATAACAAATCTTCCTTCTATGCTCTCTCTCTCTGACTTGAAAAATAAGCTCATTTCTTCTTCATTGTCCCTTCATCTTCAAGCTCTAGGATTGGATGGAATTTGGGTCTGAGAAGGGCTGTTAGGGATACAGATTTGGAGAGCACCTTGACTTTCCCGAGTATTCTTGACAATGTGTTCTTGGACCCTACAAAGGAAGATACCAGCATCTTGACTCCTTCCCTCTCAGGCTCATTCTCATGTGCCTCATTCCTTGAAGTCTTAACTCAACCACCCACCCATCCCCGTAGGCTTATCTTTCCCTGTTAAAGAGATTTGGTATAAGCCAATTCTTCCTAGGGTTGGGAGTTTTTGTTGTGAAACTTTCCTGGAAAGAATCAATACTAGTGATCTACTTCAGAGAAAGAGCCCCAGGACTTGCTTATCCCCACATAGGTGTATTCTCTACAAAGATGATGAGGAGACCGGTTATCACCTGTTAGTTTCTTGCCATTTTGCTAAAACTATATGGGAATGGGCATCTCCCTTTTTGGGTGTAGGTGGAACCCCCATTGAATGTGCAAGGCTTATTTTATTCCTCATTCTTCAGGTAGCATTTGAAAAGAGGAAGGATTATGTGTAGATGCCTAAAGGCTGTTGTGTGTTGGTCTTTGTGGGAAGAAAGAAACTCAAGAATCTTCTCAAAAAAAGAGAGGAGAATTGAAACTGTAATTGATGGTTTGTTGAGAATGTAGAAAGAGATCGCTAGCTTTGTCCAGGTTAAAATGGGTCTAAGTATGTCTTCGATCCCTCCCCCCATTGGTTTTATAAAGCTGATCTTCGATGGTATTGGTAGAGGGAACATAAGGAGGCTTGTAGTTGGGATGAGAATGGGATTGTCTCAGCCATGTTCTCAGGCCCAATTGGTGTAGGTGACTCCCTCAGGGCTGAGATCTTTGTGGCCTTGGAAGGTGTCCAAAGGGCAAAAGAAATGAACATAAGGAGGCTTGTAGTTGAAGGGAATTTGGAGGTGGTAGTAGGGTGGCTGAAAGAAGATAAGACTGGGTTGTCGAGCTACAGCAATGAAAAGAAAAAATTCAAGTGGCTGCTAAGGACAGGGAAATAAGTACAGTTGGGTGAAGAGATCTGCTAACTTGTTTACTGATGGGTTAGCCAAGCAAGGGGTCATTAGGGAATCTCTATTTTGGTCTCAACTGTAATTATGGTTCTTTTCTTTTTGGGGGCTCTTGCCTCTGTTGGGGAGTTTAGATAGTTTATCTCCCCTTCTTTGTAATTAATTATTCTAAATGATTAATGAAAGTTTTGTTATTGATCCAAAAAGAAAATCTTTTAAAGGAAATTTAAGGGGCCAAGTGCATGCATAAATGGTATTCATATGGACACATGTCAGGTCCAATGGTTGAGGAAGGAGACATACTACTTGAAGTCAAATGAACTTGGAGTTTGAACAAAGGGCCAAGTCCATGTCTAGATATTTTGTAAATGTGTTGGTATTAAGAAGCACTGGTTTAAGTGGCAGAATGTTCAAATCCACGAGATGAGTATAGCAGAGAGAGGATGTTAAGATTATGTGGCAGATCTAGAAAAGATAGAGATAATGAGTTGATTTGTAGAGAAATTTTAAACAGTCCTACTAAGATGGTTTCTGCATATGCACAGAAAGCCACCTAGCACCATAAGGAGTGATCTGATGCAAGTTGGTGATTCTAGAAGAACAAGGTAAGTATCCATCAACATAATCAAGAAAAAGGTAAGTATTCATCAAAAAAAGGGAAAGCCGAAAAAGGTATGGATTTAGGTAGTCATCAATGATCTGAGAACTCAAAAAATTGGTTGAAGATTTAGCCCATAATGGAGTGGAATGGGAAAACAGGGTTCATGTAGCCAAATGGATGGGATATGGATTTTGATTGAATTACATAAATTGGTATCAGTTATATGCAAAGTCAATCAAACTATGTATTTAGTGATTTTAACAAAGGATAAGATGGCACACATTCTTTTTTTGTTGAGGTTTTCATTTATAATCCTTCTTCATTTTCTAGGACTAACGGCCCCCACTTGCACTTTCCCTTCTTTTCATTTTCTAGTAATAAGATGATTATATCAATATATCATATATGTTGATCAAAATAAAATAAAGATGAAAATCGATGTAATGACATATTATGGCCAGATACTCAACACTCTGATGTACAAAATTTAGGTTCCAAACTAAAATGACAATATCACAAGATTGAGCAACTCAATATCATCATACTATTTGGTAATTAGTAGTGTAAATCAGAAACATGTACTGCAAGTTCAGTCAACTCCACTGGACATGATAGACAACCTAAATGACCAGAACTTAGTTAATTTGCAATTACCCGGTTACCCCCATGAAAGTTGAAACTTAAAAAATTACAAATTTCAAGTGATTAAACTGACTAGTAAATGCTTCAATAACTTGACATCCATATGCCCTCCTTCCAAAAAGAAATGCAATTGAGTTTGTAAAAGTATCCTACCTGGACTTTGCCATTATTGGTTCCGACAGCCAGGTGAGTGCCACGCTGCGCCCACCCCACTGAACAGACACTGTCATCCACACCTAAGTCGCAAAGTTTTGTCACCTGAATTTAGAACATGAAAGAAAAATGTCATTGGTCCGAAGAAAGAGAAAGGTCACGACAGCATGTTAGTTACAATTATAACAAGCAAGTCCTTTGAGTGACATAAAAACGAGAATTGAATAAAAAAAATCAGAGATTACCTTGCTGCTACAGGCATTCCATAGATAAACGCAGTTACCCAAACCCACAGCCAGCACATTGTGCGAAGACCAATCCACAAGATTCAGATAGAAATCATCTTGCAATTGAGGAGCATCTAGCACCTAGAGAACATCCAAATTAACCTCAAACGGAGAAAGAACAAGTACACAATCAGAGTAGAACAGCAAAACTAACAGAAATTTTACCTTGTAAGGCGACCTAGGAACCTTTCGCGGAGTCTTGGCTGGGCTAGGAATAACCCCGGGCAGTGCATCGTCAAGCCCAAACGGAGAAAGAGGGTAGAGCGAACGCCGCGTTTCCGTCTTATATCTAAAGATATTCCTACTTGGAGGGCTCAATGGCGAATGCGCCCCACTGAATCCCGCTTGCTTCTCAGGGGTCACAGGCGAAACATTCGCAGAATCGGGCCCAAGAAGTACGGTCTTCAACAGAGTGGTGTAGACACCGGAACCGTCCTCCCGACCTTCGGCCAACGAGTGGGACGAAGGCGATATATCGAAGAGAGCAAAATTGGAGCCAGATCTGCTAGGAATGAAACGGTCGCTGTAGATAGTTCTAGAAGGCGAAGGATGGTAACCTACACCCAACATACGATCTATGTGGCTAGAAGAAGGAGAAGCATCTAAGGACAGCGCGCTTCGAGACATGTTAGGAGGGAGATTCAACTTTGAAGAAGGAGGAGGAGGAGAAGCAGAGGAGATCAAAGACGAAGAAGGTCCTCTCAGACCTGATCGATTGTCGATTGAAGGAGTTGAAGGATCTCCCATCGCAGGAATTTGCCCCAAATCTCAAAATTGATTCAGAGAGAGATAGACCCCTATAAAGAAGTAGAGATAAGAGAGATCAGCTTTCCCTCTCTCTCTTTCTCTGTGTCTCACTCGCCTTCAGAAGGGTTTTCTGTGTTGAAATTTCTTTCGCAAGGGCTAGCTCTCCTTTTACTGGATTTTTTAAGAGTTTTACTGGGAAGAGAAACGAGATACGACCATCAATTACTTCGGTTGGGAAGTTTTCCTGGTTCTACATTACTGTTGAGTTTCCCGGGAAAAATTTAGTAATTAGACCAACCCGAAATAACGGAAAGGCTGATTGGTTGTTGTTTTCAGAATCGAGACCGAGACACAAAGAAGGAAAGAAGCCAAAGGGGAAAGGGAAGTTGCTAATCGGGATTTTGCATGGGGCCCATCTTGATCAGCTGTCTGGAAAAACTTTGGCTGTTTATAAAAAAACAGCCTGGGCTGTTAATGTGGGTAACATAGTATTTACATTCAATGCTTTTTTTAGTTGAAAAGACAAATGAGGACTTAAATTAACTTAAGTGTCATGTATAGAGACTCCCAAAACAGACCAAATTGTTTTTTGATTTTTTCCAAACAACTAAAGTGATCTCCTGCTGTCTTAGTTTTTATAAGCCAATTGAAGTGGGCCCCTAGGGAATCGTCTACTCAAGCCCAATAAGAGACCTTGAATCGTTTTAGGGTATTTTGATTCTTGGCATGTCTGATAAAATAGGTTTCTCCTGTTTATGAGGTTTGTTTATGCTAAATTTCCTAAAAATTATCTCTCTTTTAACAGAATGACTTATTTGCTTTGTCTTTCAGTGAATAAGTTTTTAAGGAACTCACAAAGAAATAATTCATTCAGTTCAGTCATTTCAGCTGTTATCAAACAGCCCCTTAGTTGTAATATCCTAGAGTCTTTCAAATCACCCTAAATGTCCAATCATTTCTCCCCTTTCCTATTATACTTATTTTTAATTCTCAATATCTTACTGAACACCTACTTTTTGTTAGATAAATCTAACTAAATACTTTAAGGGTTGTTTGGTAATAAGGGCTAAAGTGACTTAACTGAATTATTTATTGCTTCTTCTTTTAATGAATAAAATAATCAAACAATAAAATATTTGAGAATATAATAATCAACCCAATTTCATCTTCAGCGACAAGGATAGGAACTCACAACCTCTTCTCAGATTTTATTTTTCTTTTTTGGCTAGGCATTCTCAAATTATTTTTGTGAAGTACAATAAGAAGTTATTGAATTTGTTTCTAGCTCCTATTCTCATGCTACTCTCATTCTCAAAATGCTTACAATCTAAAAGTGTGCATTTCTCTCTTTTATTCGTCTCACAAATCCGTTTGGATAACCTTTCTTTGGGCTTTTCAACCATGGAAAACAAAATTGACCCAAAAAAGTGTTTTAAGAGTTTGGTAAGAGTTGCTTTTGAAATCACTATAATCTAAAGTAAAAACACTTTTGCTCCAAAAGAACAAAACCTAAAAATGGGGTTTTTGTGATTTTAGGCTATTAATAATTGGACTAAATTTGGATTTAGATATACTGGTCCTGGTCCAGGCTCGGGCTACCCAAGGGCTATGCTCAGACCAAACCAGAGAAACGGAAAAACCAAGGACTCCAGGCCCAGACCCGTGATGCAGACCACAGAACCAAGCCCAGACCATGTACCATGTAAAGTTTTGGGTTGGGCCGATTCAGGCTCGAGTTGGACAGTTGGAGTTGCCCACGTTGCACTGTTGGACCCNCCCCCCCCCCCTCTCCCAATTTCACATTCTTAGTTAGGAGTGTCAATTGGACCAACTGTCAATTATGAGTCCATTACAGATGGATTAAGTCCAATCTAATCCAATGAATACATTGGACCATTTTGAATCGATCCAATTCAATGCTTGAACTGTCCAATATATTCAAATTGATTTTAATTGAGATTGGTTCCAAACCCAAACATGATCCTTTGGCACCTATATACTTTTCTTCTATCAATGGACCGGACATTAATTGAATCCAACTCAATCTAATATAAATCCATTACGGATGAACCAGGTCCAATCCAACCAATAAATCCATTCATCCAAAAAAAATGCCCCAACCACATGAATGTACAGTACGTGATTTAGACCTTGGTTTTGGCTCATACGAACTTGGTTTACTACAGTGGCTAACCACAACACACATAATTATCGACTACATTAACATGGGTATCCCAAAAGGCCAAAACATGACTGATGGACCCAATGGGGTCCAATAGAGTTCATTTTCTTCTTCACTCCTAGTTGCTACCATTCAAGACAGGACCCAATTGGATTCTTTAGTGATAGGACTGATCCTTCATCGGATTCCCAACTCTGCTAGCATATGACACCAAAATGATTTGAAGTAAGCAGCTATTAGAGTCCAATGACTCCAGAAATTGGTAGCCTGTTCTGTGCAAGAATTTGGACTATTAATTTGATATCTAAATGGGGCCTAAAAAGGCTGTCTTGCCTTTCCCCATGTCAGTTATTAATCGATGTGTTTAAGCAGTAAGTTGGGCAAATAGTTCATCAATTTTTATTTTATAAATCTTAATATTATTTGTTTCATTTTTCATTCTTTTTCTGTAGGACCTTTATATATTTTTCTATATTATATATCTAGGATACAGGTAAAGCTTTATTTATTTTATTTTTTAATTTTATAAGAACTTCAAATATAAACTTTATTATTATTAGGCTTAGTTATCTAATTATGTTTTCTATACCACTTTTTTGTCTTTACTTGGGTCTTATTGCTCGCGATTCAGCACGATGGTACATGGGCCATCATATGACTGGAAGAGAAGACTTGAATTAAGTTTTCTTTATGTACTAATTGCTATGAATAATTATAGATGTATCAACTTGAACTATATATATGAAAATTTCTCTGTGAAATTATCTACTCAAATCAGCTTTTTTCTCAACCTAGTGCTTTTCTTTAATTAATTTTCTATAACCTTTTCATGGTTGTTGCATTAATCAATTTTAGATCAAATATAATATGATTTATTAATGCTGATTTCTATACAGCTTTATTTCTTTGTCTATTATAAATTTTTTTTTATTCAAATCCATTAGATGACTTTTTATTCTCATTTCTTTCCCATGGCAAATGAATAAGAAAACATTTTGGGGTGTTTACTTATAAATCTACACACAAGGTATCAACTGGCTAGTTGGTAAAGTCTCTTGTAGTTCGAGTGGAGGATTTGGATCAAATCCCACAATTAAAGAGTATAGGATTGGGGGATGAGCTACCAAAAAAACACTATCTTCAAGCATACACAAGACACTACAGCTACACATTAAGAACATATCCCCATATTGCTGTGTTTGGTTGCAGTGTAAATAAATTTACACTGATCAAAACTATAGCAGTGCAAATGATTTGGGCGCAAAATTCTGATTTATTTTTGTTTCAAAATTATCTTATTTTATTTAATTGCTGTACAAATAAAGTAAAATAAGACCTAAAACAGAATGAAGTAAAATTCAGAACAAAATTAAACCAGAATTTATATTCTTTTCATTTACACTCTCATGCGTTTGTACTGATGCAAATAAAATTGCACTGCAACCAAACACAACCTAAGGCTCAATTTGAAAAGAATACAAATGTAAATATATACAGTACAAATACATACATAATAATATAAAATATAAGATTTTGCACTATACATATTTGCATTTATACTCCTTCCAAACTGAGCCTAAATGACAACTGAAACAGCAAAGAACACTACAGCTATGCTTCCCTCGAATTGATGAGTGTACATGAAAGAGTAGGTTTTCTTATTAGTGGTCAGTATAAACAAGTCACCTATTTTGTCTAGAAAAGTGTTGTCTGTAGGTAAGTCTCCCATGGTCCAAAGACTCCAAAGAGATGTCCACTTGACAGGTTGGGATGGTTATCATGAAAGATCAGCCCCAAAAATTTTTGCCCCCAATTTTTGGGATAATTCATTTACTCTGTTGTATGCCATGCTTTTTAAGATGTTGAGATGGTCACTTGACATCCCTTTGAATATGAAGGTATGGGGTTAAATCCACATAACTGCAGGCTCTCCGTAGTAAGGTCAGTGAACCTCACATGCATCCTGTTCTAACCCTACTCTTTAATTCCCTGTAATGTGTAATATATAAAACTAAAAAAAAAAAAAAGCTATGTGTCAATTTCCAATTATGCCAAATATTAGAAATGTTCTCTTTAGATCGGAGTGTAAATATGAGTAACCTACCATGTGATCATACAAATTTCATATATGGCAGAGGGTAGCTGCACATCGGTGGTTTGCTTTATGAGTCTAAATCTGCTCTTCACACCAACCTCACAGCATGTCTCAGTTGCACACTGAGAACATCTCTCATATTTGTATGCTATTATTCATGGAAGATGTTCTCAATACGTGATGGAATGTGACTGTAAAGAGCAAATCCCAATTCCTGCTTTATAGGGTGGAGATGCCTTCAGTTATTAAGAATGAAAACAAATGGAGATGGAGAAGCCAAAGCCACTAGAGAGCTTGTTGTTTATCCACCAAAAGCACTAGAGAGTACACTAAGACCAATTTTACTATAAACAGTAGTAATTAAGAGAGTTACTAACTATAAATTGTAAGTCTGAAGGTTATCATAAATAGTAAATTCTCTATAAAACTCAAAACCCTAACTAGAAAATAAATTAATATATATATATATATGTATATATCAAGTATACTTATCACCCAAAAAAGTGTCAAATATCAAACCAATTTTATTTCTCTATGTATCTGCATCAATTAATATAAGACATGCTAGGAAGTAGGAACCAAAGACTTTCATATTGGTGCAATAAGAAAATGAGAGCATCACTTGTGCTCCAATGTGGCCAAAAGGAAGGTCATGATTTCAGATTGGAATTCAATTTAGCTGAGATGGTCACTCGATCGGTCCTTCCTAATATAAAGTTACACAGGGTTGAACCTGTGTAACTAAAGGCTCTTCATGGTAAGGTCAATTAACCTCACGTGGATCCTACCCTATTTTTTAATGTTTTTAAAATCGAATCATCGAATCGTTCAGAGATCCGGTTCTTGAGCCAAATGATTTGATCGCTCGAATCGAATGGACAATCTATTCTAATAAAAAAAAATCGTTGGATGGTTCGAATGGTTTGACTGCCCGAGTTAAGGGTTTGTTGACCAAATCAACAGTTTTTGACCAAAATACGATTCTAGAATAAAACAGAACAAGTCAGGTGACCAGTTCCCGGCTTTTCCGATCCAGACCAATTTTGAAAACCATGCTATTTT